GTAGAAAAATCTGTTTTAAGATAGAATAATTTTTATTTCCATGTGAAGTGTAATATCTCCTTTACTTCATCCACATAACTTATAGGCAATATGTTAAGTTAAAATCTATTGTAAGTGAAACTAAGACTTAAAAGAGCAATGATCTCGCAACTTTAATGCACTCACATTGTCTGTTTGACTATGGTGAAGTGGTTTAGGCAGCAATGCAACTTTTAATGAAATATAATTCATGATTGTTTCTATTGTGAGCTTCTAGGTGACATCTACTTGTGTAAAACTAATAGAATACTAAGCATACCAATACACTCGGGAGAGGGTAAGTAGACATATGTTCCTTGTTAGCACATAATTTATTAAATAATTATATCAATTGTTCTATTGCTTATGTCATTATCTTCATTATAATTTTCTTTTGCAATGAATTGGATGAATGTTTAAAGATTTAGATTTGCTTTGAAATACTCTTACTCATAAATGTGATGGTATTTCACTTGAACTTCATTTACATGGAAATTTAGGTCTGTTGTAATGTTAAAACTTGTTATAATTGAATTAGGACTCGGGAGGGCAGTATAATTCTCAACTAAGTGGCATCACACTGAATTTCTTTGTAAGTAGGTAGTCTAAAGATTCAATGCAATGTTAGGGAGATATTCGTTAATGGGTGTAAATTTGTTGTTTGTTGGGTGACAGGCTAGATTTCTACCAATTTGACTTAACACTTCATACCTGATACACTAAAAATACATGCATATTTAGACCTATATTTTATACTCATTTTTGGTGATATTACATTTTAAAGGTAGGTATTTTTCATGTTTTATTGCAGGTTTTTGATTTTAAGGACTTGAAGAAAAAAGAAAGCAATAAGGATAAAATTTGGAGTCAAAAAGGAGCTTTAGAAGAAATGTTCATCGCCGACGGCCTTAGACTTGGTGTCAACGGTGCCATTTGACAGAAAGCACGAATGAATTAAATGGCTACTAGCGTTGACAATGCTAGAATGGGCACCGATAGCGCCAATGTCGGTGCAAGCCCTGTTTCTAGAAGATTTGATGAATTTAGAAGCTTTTTGAAGAGTTTTTGGATGCTCCTATTGGAAAATTGACATTATGCTCTATTTAGAGCGAAATTTGATAAAAAAAGAACCCCTTCGCCCCTCTTCGCACCCTTCAACCGCTTTCCACTCTCTTCCACACTATTCCACAACCCCTACAGCCACTTAGAGTCCATTAGTCATTTATTTTATTTATAGTTTTGAATTTTTTTATGAGTTTAAGTGTGAATTCTTCTCTAAGAGTGTTGGAGAGGGAGAGAAGTGAAAGATTTCTTCTTCCTACATTTCCTAAGAGAGACTACAAGGGATTTACTTTGAGAAAGAGTTTCAGATAAGTGTTGTTTGTTTATTATTGTTGTATGAACATTCTTTTATATATGAAATTTGTCTTTTGTTGTATATTTCTCATGAAGTCTGAGTAGTTTCCTTTATCTTTCTCCCTACTCTGAGATATGGTGAAATGAAGAGATAATTTGGATTTGTATTAAAATATAAAAAAAATTGTAATGATTTTTCAACTCCGTTCTTAATTTACTTTTCGATCTGACTAATTGAATTGTTAAAATATATTATGAAACATATGATCAGGGAAATGGAGTATGAGTTCTACAATAGAGTGAAAATCACATTTAATTTCATGAAGGAGTATTTCGTTCATGGATGTAAGTGCAAATAAATAAGGAAATATACATTGTTGGCTGTAGAATTGGAGATTTTAGAGTGATAGAGTAAAATCCACAGTTTAGTCTTAGTGTTTAACCGCTGAAAGCGAGCGTTGGTCTTCAGGGGAAGGGAAGTGGGAGCTTTGGAGTGAGAACGAGTATCCTCCTAGCCTAGCCACGGATTAAGGGACTAAACTTGAGATTAGCCAATGATTTTCTATAACACTGAATCAGGATAGATAATTAAAATTGCTCATATTTGACACAATACATATTTAAACCATTTATCTCATCTCATTTTATCAAAAACTTATTGTAGTGGGAAAGATGCTTTTTCATATTAGAAAACCTTATCACATAAACATAGTTTAGTAGTTAATGTTTTAAACTTTGCATTTAAATTTTGATAGTTGTTAATATATTAGTTCTGATAGTATCTCAAACATTTGAAATTAGTGATAGTAATTTCATTTTATTTCCGTGAATTTCCTAGTCAATTTATCATTTCAAATTTAAACATTCGTCGTGGGATCAATATTTAAGGCTTAAATAGAAAATCTTATATTACTTGATTACGATATGTATATTTGCGTCAAATCCCTACATTAAGTGCTTAACATTCTTATTCATAAAATATCATATCAAGTTTTTTGCACCGTTGTAAAGCGGAGTCAACTTTATAATTTTACACAGACTATATCATCAGGATCAACTGCCCATAGGAAAGCTCCAAGCTCCTTGATGAAGTAGCGGGTTTTAGTTTTAGAAATGTCAATTGAGGAGATGAGAAAAATGTCATGGGAGGTGGCAGCTGGCTTGGTGGTTGCTCTGCTAGGGTTTCCATGGACTGTCTAAGGTTGGTGGGGATCTCCATCCCTTCTCTGCTCACTGTTTCCCCTCTCCAGGAGTTTTTCTTTTATCTTTGGAAGCTTCTTCTCTGGTTTTCTTGCTTCTTGGAATTTTTCTCTTTCAAGTGGTTGTCGGTGTACTGTTCCATTAATGTGGAGTGCTGATGGCTGAACAAAGAAATGTGGATTTGGCCACTAATATTCAATGGGCAAAGGCTACTTTTGTTGATGTTTTTGGAAAAGACTTTGACTCTATTAAAAAATTTGATGATTTGGTTTTTCCTCAAAGCTACCATGAGGTGGCTGACCCTATCATTAAACCTCTGAGCAGGAAGAGTGGTAAAATGATCTTTTTTTATAATGAGGAGGATATCCAAAGCCTGACTGAAAATTGCAAATTTACTCTTATAGGCGAATTTCCGCTAGGTCATCCAAAAATGGAAGTTATAAGGAAGTTCTTTGAAGGTATAAAACTTAAAGGAGCATGGAGAGTTGGTCTCATTGATGGTAGACACATTCTAATCCATTTAACAAGAGAAGAAGATTATGCCAGAATTTTCTCTAAGCAGATTTTACAGATTGAGGGCAACACAATGAAGATTTTAAAGTGGTCTACTAATTTTGATCCTAGCAAGGAACTCTCTATAGTTCCTAAATGGTTCAAACTTTGAGGCTTAAAACTTCATTTTTTCAACCATAAAGTGTTGTTTAACATTGGACAGGCCTTGGGTAAACCCATCAAATTGGATGTTTCAACTTTCAATTTATCTAGACCATCAGTAGCCAGAATCAAGGGACCTAACTCTCCCAGCAGCCCAGCAGTTGATGAAATATTGTTGGGTACTGAACATAATGGGTATTTGCAGAAAATCATTGCTGAGTAGAATTCATTGCTGAGCAGAATCCTTACTATTGCTTCCACTGTTGTATGTTTGGGCACACTGATAACAAGTGTTTTAAACTGCCCCCTCATTGCAGGAACACTAATAATGGGGTCCCAAAAGAAGCTGTTCTGCCTATGGAACCTTTGGTGGAGCTTGTGAGGGAAAGGGATATTTATGATGAGAGCCCTGATCAAATCAATTTTGGGTATAATGCAAAAGGTCCTGAAGAAATTTATCAGACCACCAATGCTACTTTGGTCATTGAGACTGAAAATACTGACAAAAATATAGCCAATGCCAGTCCTAACCATCTTCTGATTGCAATGACTGATAATTTATCCAACAATGGAGTTGGTTCCTCAGAAAGTCATCAAGAACCATTTGTTGTATAGATCACAACTAGTGAAGCTGCTGCCTATGAACCTTTTGTTTCAGAGCCTCAAAATTCTCAGCTGGATGTTGGTGAGGTTGTTCTTAAGGATTATCAAGTGGACTCTACTTTAGTTGAAGTTTTACAGCTGCGTTGGTTGATGAATGGCAAACCCGTTGGAAAATCCAAAAAATAAGAAAAAAGAAAAAGGGCAACCAGGAGTTAAACAGTGTGAAGGGAGGAACATACTTACTCAGAGACAAAAATACTTATATGGAAACCAAGGAGGCCATGGCAAGTTCTAGAAGGAGGGGTAAATCCATCTCGTTTGGATGATGAACCTTTTGTGTTGGAATGATAGGGGATTTGCACATCTTAAATCCCTTAACAGACTTATTGCTTTGAATAGGTTGTATAAGTTTTGGTTTGTTGCTGTTTTGGAGCCTATGGTGTCCAAAAATCCCCAGAAAATCCTTAGAAAATTTTTTGGCTTCTCTCATTTTGCTAATCTGAATAATAAAATTTGGTTACTCCATAGACAGAAAGTAATGTGCCAAATTTTGTGGGGTCATCCACAATTCCTTCACATCAAGTTTAACTTTGGGGGTCAAGAAGGACTGACTACATTTGTTTATGCTGGAAGCTCCTCAAAAGCCAAAGTGGAGCTGTGGGAGAGCATGCATACTATCAGCAGATCCTGTAATTCCTTATGGCTGGTGGGTGGGGATTTAAATTCCATTTCGGCCCCTTCTGAAAAATTAGGTGGCAACTCACCTGATTCCAAATCAATAAACAACTTTAATGATAATATTAGCTTGGCTGGCGTATTTGATCTTGGCTTCACTGGTCCTAAGTTTACTTGGGGGAGAGCACCTTTATGGGAAAGAAAGATTGGATAGAATCCTTGTTAACACAATTTGGTTGAATGAATTTTTACATACTTCTATCCAACATCTTAGCATGACAGGTTCTAACCATAGGCCCTTACTTATCACTATTTCTGCTTCTCTAATCAAGCACAATCAAAGCTTTAGGTATCTCAACATGTGGTCTTCTCACCATGATTTTCTTAATCAAATCTCTTTGGGGTGGAGAGATTGTCACCACTCTAATCTTTTGATTAAACTATGGATGCTGCAAAAGAAAATTGACAAACAACTGTCTAATTGGAACTGGACTATGGTGGGGGATATTAATCTGAGAGTAAAGGAGGCTGAAATGGAAGTGAATTATATGGAGACTAGGCTTGAAAACAATCCTGATACTGGAAAACATTTATTGTTGGCTAATGAAAAGCTTATGAATGCAATTTGTATGCAAGAGGAATTCTACGCTCAAAAGGTTGCTAAGACCAAATTCTACGAAGGGGACAGAAACACAAAGTACTTTCATGCTTGAATCAACTATAGGAGGAAATGCAACACCATTCATAAGATTAGAGATCCCTCTGGGCACTAGATTCAATTTGAAGGCTTAATTGCAGCTAGTGCCATTCAATATTTTCAAACTCTATTCACTCAACCTCCAGTCATTAGACTTCCAATTCAACAAGTCCTTTTTGATCAGAGTTACACAAGAAACCTGGACTTGGCATCTATCCCTGGGGAATTGGAAATTTGGTCAGCCCTGACCTCCATTGACAGCTCCAAAGTTGCTGGCCCAGATGGATTCTCAGCAGATTTCTATAAGAAAGCATGGAAGATCATTAAAGGGGATATTATTGAGGCAGTACAAAGCTTTTTTAGAGGGATGGATTTTCTTAACTATTTTAAAAGTTTTTTTAGAGGGATGGATATTATTGAGGCAGTACATTAGGCAGGACATTTCCTTAATTCCCAAAAACAACTCCAATCTCTTTTAGGACCAGTTCAGGCTTATTAGTCTTACTAATGTACTGTCCAAAATTATTAGCAAGGTGATTTCCAAAGGTGATTAGCAAGGTGATTTCCAATAGATTGCAGCCTCATTTACCTCATCTCATCAGTGAAAATCAATCAGCTTTTGTTCAAGGGAGAAGTATAGTGGAGAATGTCCTCTTGGCTTAAGAATTAGTCCTGGATTTAAGAATTAGTCCTGGATTTGGACAAACAATGTAGAGGAGGGAATCTTATTTTCAAACTTGACATCCAAAAGGCCTATGATACCATACATATTTCATTGAGGAGGTGCTATCAGCAAGGGGTTTCTCTCAACCCTTTATTTCCTTGATCCTTAAGTGTTTTACTAATAATTATCATTCTATTTTCATTAATGGGAAGTCTCATGGGTTCTTCACAGGTTCTAGAGGCATCAAGCAAGGTGACCCCTTATCCCCTACAATCTTCATACTTGCTTTTGATTACTTATCTAGACTGCTGAATCAATTAATGGCCAAAGCTCCTCACTCTTTATATAGCGACAGATCTAACATTGTTGTTAACCACTTAGCCTTTGTTGATGATGTTATTATATTTGCCAAAGCTACTAAACCTGCAATTAAATTGCATTTCCAATGTCTGGAGAATTTTCAAGATTGCTCTGTAATGAAATTTCATAAACAAAAGTGCCAAGCAGTATTCAGTAAAAGGGTGAAACCAAAAATCAAGCATTGGATTTCAGATCTTACTGGCTTTTGCTCTAGTTCTCTTCCTCTGAAATACTTGGGGAACTTATTGCTCAAAAGGAGGACAAGGCAAGTCCAATTTGATGATATTATACTTAAAGTTTAGGATAAACTCAACAGCCGATCTAACACTTTCCCCTCTAATAGGGGAAGAATTATCCTCCTCAAAAGTATTTTGGCTGCTCTTCCATCTTATATATCACAAGTTTTTGTTATGAAGAAATATGAAGAAATCCATCCAAACAAACTACTCTTGAAATAACTTTCAACAGATTCCTTTGGGCAGGCCAGAGAAAGCAAGTGCATTAGGTGATATGGCAAAACTTTTGTGGCAGTGCTAGAGCTGGAAGTCTGGGGTTTAAAAGCTTCCAGCAGATTTTCCAAACTAATTTTTGCAAACTTTGGGTTATGTTTACAGCACAAAATTCCATTTGGGCTAAAGTTTTGAAAGGAAAGTACTGCAAAGATCTACATCCTTCTCTTGTGACTAATAGATTGGGGGATTCAGATTCTAGATTGGGGGATTCAAGAACTTGGAAGAACATGCTGAAGATGAGAACTAAGTCTGAACAACTTTTCATTTGGGATATAGGGGAAGGCAGACTCAATGTTTGGCTAGATAGTTGGACTGGAGAAGGCATTTTGCCTCCATTAACTGGCTCTCAATTGTCCCTCCATTAACTGGCTCTCAATTCAACCCTACAACACAGGTGGCTGACCTTTGGTCTGATGGTGAATGGAACCAACAAGCTCTTCAGAACATCCTTGATAATAGATTACTCAATATTATCCTGAAGAAACCTATTGACAGATCCAAGAAGGACAAACTTATTGTGAAGAAAAAGGTTTCCCAAACTTTTTCAGCTTCCATAGCTAATTTCTTCTTTCCTCAACAGGAGGTTTCCTGGGCTAATTGTGTTTGGAACAAGTTCCTCTCTCCTTCCATGGCCTTCTTCTCTTGGAAATTATTCTATGGTTTCATTCCCACTGATGATATTTTAAAAATAAAAGGCTTGAGAGGCCCTTCAAGATGCTGCCTGTGTAAAACTGAAGAGGAATCCCTCCACCATTTGTTCTTCGAATGCTCTAATGTTCAGCAATTTTGGAACCTCTTGTTACCTAAACTGAAACTAAATACGATTTAGTTGTCCTGGGATGATTTTTATATAAGCTGGAAAGGCTGGCAGGCTCAATCTCTCCCTCCCATCCCTTGAATCATTGCTTGGTTTGTTTGGATGGCCAGAAATAAGCTGAAATTTGATGAAGCCTAAGTGGATGCCACTGTCATTGCCACTAATTTCTACAACTATTTATAGAAACTATACCGTCATAGGAAAATTCCTGAAATCCTATGCACAACCTCCCTCAACTGTTCAAGGAAATTACAAACTATTCATGTTCATTAAAGCTGCTCTTCTAAGGGTTGGGTCAAAGTAAACACTGATGGATGCTTCTTTTCTCCTAACGGAGAGGTTGGTAGAGTTTTGAGAAATGTTAGTGGGAAATGTCTACTATATTTTCAGTCTCCTACATGGGCTGAGGATGCTTTGGAAGTTGAAGCCCAAGTTGTTTATTGGGCAGTGTTTATGGCCAAAAAGTGTAGCTGGAACCAATTAATGGTGGAAACTGACTCCATGACTTTAATCAACATTCTTGAAGGGAGAATATCAACCCCTTGGTATCTGATTAATTGGATTACTGGCATACTGACCCAAGGAAAGTATACTAAAATTTTCATACCTATTTTATACTGTTTTTAATGATATTGAACTTTAAAGAAAGGTACTTTTTATGTTTTGTTGCAGGAATGATGAATTAGGGCCATTGGAGCAAAAAGATGCAAAAATGAGCGAAAAGGACCAAAATGTGGAGATTTGAACGAGGTTACAGACAGCGCACTCAACCCCGCCGACGGCGAGTTTTTCACGAGGCTACAAGACAAAATTCTTCAGAAGTCCGCCGACGGCGCCCTGGAGGCCGCCTACGTCGACATCGACTGTTATGTTGGCGGTTATGCCTACTCAAGCTTTGGATAAGGCCAAATTTTGAAGGGATGCTTAGGCAACTCTTGGGAAAGCTCATCCACAACTTTAATAGGCTATTTTGGCTGAAAATTAGAGGGGAGGGGGAGAATCTAGAGAGTGAAGGAAGTGCTTGAGAGATTTCCTAGAGATTAGAAAGGTTCCATTATTGTGAGGAATTCTTTGAGATATTGTAAGAGTGGAGGGAAAGTGAAAGATGTCTTCCTCCTTGCTGCTTCGAATAGGAATTCTATGTGCTGTAAAGAAAGAAAGAGATTCAGAGGAACTTCGAGGAGTGTTCTTGGGGAGAAATTAGAGATAAGTTATCTACTTATTGTAGTTTATATGACTTTGATTTTATATATGAATTTCAAGTTTTGTTGTGTTTTCCCCATGAGATCTGAGTAGTTTTCCTTGCCTTTCTCCTTGTCTCAAGATTTTTGAAATGGTGATTTGAATTGGTGAAGCAAGAAAATGTTTAAGAAATTGTGATGATCTTTTCACTTCGATATTAATTTACTTTGAATCTGGCCAATTGATTTGTTAAAATATGTTGAGTTTTACAACTAAAATGAAGATTATATCCAAGATTCAGGGAGGTCAAAGCCCTTGGAAGTTGGGTGCAAATAAATAGGAAATAATATTATCCGGCGTAGAATTGGAGTTTTTAGAGTGACAGACTAAAATCCCCAATTCGGTCCTATCATTTGGGTGCTAAAGTGTAGATGTTAGCCCTCATGTGAGGGGAACGTGGGAGCTCCGAAGTGAGAGTCGGTATCCTCCCAGCCTAGCAGCAAATTTAGTAAACAAGCATAGGATTAGTCAATGCTCTTTATGCCTGGACCAATGGGTCAAGAATAGGTATGCTCCTATTTGGCACAATATAAATTGAACTAATTCACTTTATCCATTCACTATAATTTCTTGACAAGGAGAAGGATGATTTCTTATATATTGAATATCACAATTAAACCCTCATTAGTATCATTAGTTATTTAATAATTATTAAAATTACATACTTATTTCAATTGCCTATTAGTGACAGATAA